TTTCTATGTCGCAGGCTTTTCACTGATAACAATCAAGAGGCAGCGCGGCCTACACGCCCAGACGGAAACTAAGCTGCGAGCTAATTAGACTAGGGAAACAGCGTGAAAAGCACAATTCACTGGGCCTTTTTTGTTTATAATAGACCCTTTTCAAAAGTCAGAGTCCTCTTGTGGCAGTATAAAAAGCTCCATTATTGCCGCTCTAATGGCGGTGATAGGAGATCATGCGCGGCTAAATCAAACACCCTCGATTCCGTGCATCGAAGCTGACGTGAAAGGACCAACATCTTTTCCTTTTTCTGCTCTATGCTTTCGAAGACGTTCGATTTTTCTGGTGTGGAGAAACAGTGTAGTTCCGCCATTAGAGCGTCGGGTCTGGCTCTGCACAAGGTGGGTAGACTGACTTTCGTAAAGGGTCTATTGGTTCAGCGATGTTGCAACACTTACAGAAACATAATTATAGAAACATACGTGGGACAGACACTCACAGTTATTTCAACGAGCAACGACATCTATATGATGCCCGTTACACTGCGAAGAACGACACTGGTCACAAAGAAAATTAAGGGAAGTCGAAAATACCAGAAAAAGATAAAAATAAAGATAACTGAATTTAACTTTTTGGAAAGGAAGAAGAAGATAATTGGAGGCGACTTTTTTTGACAACTCTGGCGCTAGGAATCCCAGCGCTGGTGTCGATAGCGACGAGGGCTCCGAGTGTGTATGAGTTTCTGTCCCTGGCATTTTTTCAGTGTTTTTATTCTTTCTGTGCGAACTGTAGTCTATAAAACGCGCTCTGCTACATGTACCAAGGTAAGCACATCCTTGTGTTTTTGTCTCCATACTTCGGCCACCTAGTCACACCTCTGCAGTAAATCTCAGCGCGATACTTTGAAAAAACAATTTTTGCGGTCCATTTCAAGTGACTTAGATCCCTTTATTCCTCGCGGTAGTTTCATATAATGCGCTAATCGATATGTGCTTCTAGATGAACTGCGATATTAATACTTCTCGAAGTGCTCATCACGGCAAATTAGCTTCGTTGTGGGCTCTTCTTCCGAGCACCGGCGAACTACGGAAAACCAATATCCTTGACGCTGACACCACCATTCCTTGAACCTCACCTCGCTGCAGCTCTCGGAAGCACTGTGGCGAAGTGAGGTTTGCAACGGGCTTACAAGAACAACACACGTTCAAAGCGGAATGGTACGCGCGTGCGCTCGGTGTATTGAAAAAAAAAAAAAAATCCTTGTGAACGTTGATAACATTACAGTAAAATTTCAAAATTTAAATCTGGAATCTTTTGCAAGCTTATATGTTAGGCAGCGGTGTCCTGACAAGCTGCGTTCCTCATTCGTGTTGTTTCTTTTAGTCATCTGTCAATAGAAGCTGTTAATATGTGTGCCTGGCTTGCATAGTATAAAGCGTTTACTAGAGTAACTTTCGGTTTCTTTCCTTCCCAAAACTGAATATGTGAGTATTTTAAGAATACAATAGTTGCTTTGTATACAACATTTTGACAAATGATTTTGCACCCAACTATTTATATTCGATTCGAAAATATTAGGCCAAAATCACCGTTCGCTTTGAACTCAAAATCTTCTATTCGCATAACACTAGTAAATACTTACCCATACTGCTGGCTCCCTGTTACAATGACGAGGGGTAGTAACTTTAACTGCAGCCTCAGTCTCCCTGGAGTGTTTCTCTCTGGTGTTGAAATGTATGTGACATTACATGTTGTTTTTTGTCTTTAGGGAGAACGCATTCCCTGATATTTAGACTGAAAAAGTGGATACACTCACAACATATCCATTTGGAAAGTTTTTATTTTTTGCAGGCAAATTCTTTTTGGGCACAAAAGAGTTTGCTTGTGTCAACTTTCCCATAGAGCTTATTTACGTCAGGAGCTATTTTTTTCAAGGACTTGATGTGGGCCATGCTTGTCTTCAGAGGAGATTCCGAAGCTCTTGAGTGTCAAACGCAAAAGCAACAAAATAAGTTCAACAGTGCATACTGTGAACGAAGGCCAGCCTTAGAAAGATAAAAAAAAACAAAAAAAAACATACATTTGAACTTTGACCTAGGTATACCATATACCGTTTTTTTAGAAATGGCCACGAGAGCAGGAAAATGTTTGAGGATTCGCTTCACTCTTATAAAGTTCGCTAAAGTGTTTGTGAGACTAGTTCGAAGATATATGATTCACACTTCTTAAAATGACGAGAATGGGTAGTGAATATTTTTAAAGATATTTGAACACAAAGTAATTTCTTAAATTTATAGAACATTAAAATTTGCAGTGCTTCAAGAACATATTCCTTATCCTATGAATTTAAACATATAAAACACACAAAAAAAATTGTCTGCGGCTTAATGGGACATGATTTTATTTCAAACATTCATAACTGGAAAATGATTACAGAAGAGTGAAAGGAAACAATGTCATTTATGCGCCATCTGACTGGGAAGGTATAATCGACTACCTCGACTACCTTGGCCAAGCCTCAAATTGGACTCTGCATCCTACATTGAAAAAAGAAAAGCCTATTAGATGTCACAAAATTCATTCATAAGTCATTATGAATTATGATTCATATTTCTCATATTTTAGCAGTGACAAAAGAGATTACTGAGCCAGGAAATATTTTGTGTCCTTATGTTTCCTGAGATAATATTCATACAATACCTCTGGAAAATGTGTTGAACTAATTTCATAAGTGCACTTAAGTGCACTGTGCAGTTGCGACTATGACAAACACGACAAGAAAGGTACTACGCAATGGACAGCGGTAGTGGGTGACGCACGTTTCAAAGTGAAGTCTAATGGCTTTTCATATCTTGGATAATTAGGCCGAAAAAGCAAGACAGTATAGTCACGTTCTACAGAGCACCAAAAAACTTGTTGTCCCTCTCTGGATTGAAGGTTTTAGTTAGGCAGCGTCACTTTTAGAACTTTATCGTGTCCTTGCTTTATGTTGAAATGAACACTGGCTGAAATTTAGGAAACAGACATGTCGTATTTAAAAAGTAAAGGGACCATAAGTTGCAAATATCTTAGCGGGAATCAAAAAAGGCTGAGAGCCCGAAACAAACACAACCATCGCATGAACAACAGCATATAAAAAAAAATAAAAGAAGTTTTATAAGAGCCTCTATAAACAATACTAAGCACATTCGAAGCCACGAGCACAACCAAATTATACACAAGGCGAAACCAAACTTCCAAGTGAGGGTCATAAAAGCAGACACGTATTACAAAACAAAATAAGCAAGTGTGACGAAAATAATCCCTGGAGAAGGGGAACAAGTGGGACAAAGGACAAACACAAAACTCCAAACACAGCTAGATGACTGGTGCGCGACCGAAAAAATCCGCCTGGTCCGGGTATCGAACCCGGGACCTCTCCAATACAGGTGCAGCTCGCTTGCACCTTTGCATTTAATTGCATTATAATCATAAGCAAGTGTATCGTTACAGCGTTGAAATTCGTTCCCATTAGCTGCCTCAAGATCGTGCCTCAAATCGTGCTTACACGATTGGCTCTCACTTTCTCCCCAATCCTCCTACAACGAATACAACATCGGCCGAAAGACACTCGCGAACGAGCGGAGAAAGTAAAAGCATACAGTAATACTTAATTAAACGAACGAGAGCGCGGCTTCGCGGCACTGTTCAATTTCGTAGACACATGCTCCTGCAACGCCTTAAGGACCTTTTTGCGTTGCCCTTTTAGAATTCAATATATGCGAGACTTTCGTGATTCCAAGCTCGTTTGAGACATCTTAGTAATTCCCTCAACTTCTTGATGTAAAATGCAACGAAGAACCAAACTCTGCCAGCAAAAGGAATCACAGAGAGTGCGAAACTTCAAAGTAGAAATGGTAAATCCGCAGAGCGTCATCTGCCAATCCATGACCAACAACACTAAGGCACGCAGAAGTAGAAACTTCAGACAGCTACTTTGAGAGAAAACGGCTTCATTGAGTAAATAAAGCATTTTGGTGAAAACACGACCCAAAAATGGCTGTGATTCTACTAGGCTAACGGGATTTCGGCAACAAATCAAAACCTCTGCACATTCTTTCTTTCATAAAAAAGTAAATTCAAAAATAATTCGCTACTTTTTGTGGTACTTAGTAGTGAATTACTTTCCAAAGTAATGTCTACTTTACTCGAATTATTTTTCAGGCCGATACTCATTACCTTTACTTAACTGTTTTTACAACCTGCATCTGCAACGATCTGATGAGCGGCCGCTCACGCTACAAGTATGAGGATTAATTTTGTAGTCTAGTTGAGCTGCTGCCCAAGTGAAAAATCTTGTACGAATAAAATATTTCTTAGGCCAATAAACGCATATGAGTAAATGCGATCATATAAGATCATATGAGAATCATACAATAGTATATAAGAAGTTACAAGAAACTGATTACAGGTTCCTTTTTACTTTATATAATTTTATATTGTCCTCGTACGTATTTATAAGGTTCTGATATACTCCTATATGATCTTCTTTGATCATATGCACTATCATATATCATATGCAAAACATAAGATTTTTACTTGGTTACTTTAACTAATATGTTCTAAAACTAAATATGTCGTCTTAGCATTTTGATATTCAAAATGTTTTTCCAGCCGAATTTTATAAAAAAAGTCTCCAAGAAGAACAATCATGAAGAAGCTTCGCGAAGGACTCTCCCATCAGGTGATATCATATCTGCCTATACGCCGTCGTTTCACGTGACATCGTGACGGTACTTGAGGCTATGACATCACGTTACCTTTATGACGTCAAGTAAATCTTGACATCATGTTGTCGATGTGACGTCGGATACGTCATCAAGTGACCTGCTCTGCGACGTCACGTGACACTATGATGTCGTGTGACATCACAATCATGTGATCTGATGACATCACGTGATGACATCACGGGCTCATAGGAGAAAACGTTTTTAGCGTGTTCTGTAGTAGTCTTTCTTGGTCTTCCTTGCAGAGGAAGTCCCACTGCGAGACTTCCAAACCACGTTCCGCTTCCACTCGAATGGCGCCGTCGAGCACCGGGGCTTCCTGGTACAAGTGGTGCAGGTGCCCTGCCAAGGTCCGCCGTCCTTCGATGCCCAGCCCTCCCCGCCGGGTCGCTACCCGCACCACTCGGCCATGGGCCCCGCCGGCCACACGCACCCTCACCCGCACCCAGGCAAGAAACCTCCGAAACGGCTTTCGAAGCCTTGCGAACGGCTCAAAGGCCAACCTTGTTAAGAATGATGCCGAAACCGCTCTTGTCGCAACCCTGACTCTCGGAGAAATCCGTTAGCATTTAGCGCCGGCGTTCCCACTCAGCGATGGATGGGAACTCTAACCACGCAATGGTTCGCACACTGTTGTGCTCAGAGAGCCAGTCTCTGCTCCCGCGCGGATGCAGCCACCACAGCTTCATCTCTCCCGTTCCCGCAGTGCTTCATTCGAAGCGTTCCAGAATACTCATTCTCTCTTGTAAGAGGAACAGTGTATGTACCGAGCTAACGAACGGAGTGAAAGAGCACGGCGGGAACTGCGCTCCGCGTCGCTGAGTCACGAAGCCACTCTTCTCTAGTCCAGTCCAGTCGAAACAAGTTAAATTGAAACCACGACCGTCCAGACAAAATGATGGCTGCATGCACCAAAGCAATAAGTTCTAAAGCCTTTAAAACAAATTTACAGCCTATGCTCGGACGCGAAGCTAAGTAGGAAGCATGAGGGCTTTAATTAAAGACTCCACAGTCATGCTGAGCTAGGAGCGAACTCCCGGCGCTCAGCGCGACAACCTCGAGCGAAAAGCATGTTGACACGCTCCTTGAAATCGCGGCGTTGACAAGACGGCACTACATAGCTGGATCGCGAGACAATATCACCTTGGCAGCTAGTCAACTCTGGCAGCTTCTATTTACAAAACGCTTTTCTGAACGTCTTTTTTTCAAACTTATTTCTGGAACATTTTCGTATTCTAAACGCTGAAGAACTATGATAAGAAAGCATTGGGTGCTTTCAAAGACAAAGCACTTCCCAATGGTTGGAGCTTGAGTCTCTTGTTTTGAGGTGACTCACCGTGTCTATACAATACTTCACTATATACTCCTTTCACCTTTAAGGTTAGACTAGAAGCTCCGCCTTTAGAGGAAGCTTTGTGCCCTTGCTCACGCAAGTGTGAACGCACAGGAACGCGCAGCCAAAGCACTGCGGAAGCCAGCGAGCTTGCGCTGAAGGCGGAGCTTCTGATCTCAGCTCAAGGCTGAACCGAGTATAGTCGGTGACGGCTTAAGAGTTCAGAGGAAACTCCTCCCACCTCTTTCACCTTTAGCAGAACAAACGCTGGAGAGCAGATCGCCTCCTCTCCAACGTTCAATCCGATAAAATGAAAAAAAATGACAGATGTTTTCCTTGAACTCTTAACCTGTCACCGACTACAGTTGGGTGTATTACCGCGGAAGCTACGGGTGAGTGAGTAAAGCCTCGTTTGTTCAAATTTTCAGTGATAGGCTAGTCCAGTGGTTCTCAAAGGGGGGTCCGCGGCGCCTTTGGGGTTCGCGAAGGCAATCTAGGGTTCCGCAAAGCCCTGCCTCGCCAGTCAAACCCGGCAATAAAAGTCGTCTTTCTTCAGATAGAGAAGATATTTTTCAATCTTCGGGATAGTTTTCTTGTGTGTATTTCAATAAGAGAAGTCTACTTCACACTAGCCCTTAATTATATCCATTGTAATATCATTATTATATTTATCCTATACCTTTTCTCTCCCCTCACCACGAACGGGGTCTTCCATCATCTCTGATCCACTGGGGGTCCGCGAAACATCGATGGCTGAGAACCACTAGGCTAGTCTACGAGGGAGGGCAAAGATATATGTGAGGTTCACAAAGGAGTGTTAGAGGGAACTTCCTTTTTCCTCTCCTTCTTACCCGCTCATGTTAAGCTCTCGCCCCTTTGGCAATGCTGCATGCAACTAGTGCGATAAAGTATAGTCAAAACTTCTCCCATAGAAGCACCAGCTGAGAAGGGTGTTTCTCAACCTAGACCTTGTATGGATCTTTACCATAGGAGACGTTTGTTCGGGCGGGTGTAATGTCTAGTTCAGAGAAAAAAATGTCTGTAACGTAATACTTCAATGAAATTGTCTAGAAAATGTAAACAGAAAACAATTTAGTATTCACGAGTTGCCAAACTGAGGCTCGCGAGCCGCACGTGGCGCTTCGAGGGTCCAAGTGCGGCTCACGGCTCCCTGGTAGGCGTACTACCCCCCCCCCCCCCCCCCTCCCCTCCTATGTCCCCAAGATGAAAAGAGTTCTACAATTAAAACAAAAAAAAAAAGAGCTCACAGCCTTAGCAGCCTTGTTCTACACTACGTACATGCAGCTGGGCTACCTTTTGCCACATAAATGTATCCTGTGACTCTGCTTCCTTTATTGTTCTAAAAATAATTTGGATTCGCATACGCATAACGGGCAGCGGCAGTGAGGGGCAGTGGCTGGCTAGCGAGTCATGCATCAGTTTTTGCTCAGCGGTTGAAGAAACGGTCTGCTGCCTGGTGTTATTTGTTGTAGTCAAAAATTATACTTCTCCCTTTTGGAACGCAGTGTTCCCTCCGTATCGTTGCTTGTTAAAAGTAGCCAGAACCCCCCCCCCCCCCCCCCCCCCGTTTTTCCCCCTGCGGCTCGCTGAACGTTTGCAGCTTTCTCTGGGGCTCTAACCTCATGTCATTCTGGCAAACCCTGCACAATTCTGGCAAACCATGCAAAGTCTTCATGGAGGCCCAAGGCTGGCTGCCGCTCTGTCCCGCGTTAACCCAGTCGCACGTATGCACCCCAGTCGCCATTATAGTGTTACGTTCTGCTTACCTCGTGTCCACTTCGGGCGCTAACTGCTCGCATCTTACCTCACTAAGCAAGAGGTTTTCCGGTCAACACTGAATAAAAGGCACATTAAAATAGCCGGACTATAGCTACCGTTTCGAAAACTAAAAGAGGCTTTTTTCACGCTGCACACAAGAAGGAAATGTGAGAGTATTTTCACGTTTTTATTTATAAAGGCCCTATTTCGCTGATTAAATTGAGACTAAGCTGGTTCCCTCACTCAGCCCTTTGTAGCAGCAGAACGATCCCAGTATGCTTCTCTTTTCCGGCATCTGATTAACCCGACAAACACGCTGAGCCTCAGTGTGCCGCCACTTCTCTTCAGCCATGTCTCCTTCAGTCCCCTATTTTTTCTTGCGAAGCAATGTGATGATGACCATAACACTTCCAGCAAGCGTATGCCTTCTATCGTAGGATGATAGAATAGATCGATGATGCTGGCTCTAACATTTGTATCCGGTGGAGGTTTACGTCACCTATGAGGAACATTTACAGTACATTCACTTTTAAAGTTTCCTATAAATTCCGTCTCTCGTTAAATCATCAACTCCACCAGTTTTGTGCATTACCACGTCCACCTAGGCCTTCTCCACCAGGCGCTCTTTCGTTCCTGTTGTCTCTTCCTTCCTTCCCTTACGAAAATGGAAGATCTGAACTTATATAAAAAAAATACCAATATATAAATAATTGGGCAGATCTGTCCATATCAAGCACATCAGTTTATATAAGCCTTATCTTGCCAGATCTGCCCATTTTTTTATATATCCATATCTGGGTCTGCCAAATAGGGGTATATCTGCCTCCCATATTAGGTTTTTTTTTTTATTCCTGCAGATTTGTTCTTAAAAAAAGTCATGAAAGCTACACTTATGCGGTTTCTGCGAGTGAGCTATACGCCCAGGGGGACATTACGTGGGGGCTAAGCTTTGCGATTTCTCGGCTAATTAATTAAAATTCAATAAATAACTTTTAAATTAGTCAAAAGTGAAATTTGGGGGTTTTACGTGCCAAACCTACGACGGGCATCTGGCACGCCCCACCGGAGGACTGGGGATTAATTTCGACCACCTGGGGATCTTTTGACGTGCAACCGAAAGCTCGGTTACACGGCGCCTTCTCCGCAATCAGCCTCCGTCATATTGCGGGCACCAAACTCTTAAATTAGTGAAAATAGACATACGGTTCCAATAAGAAGCTTGCTGGGCGTTGTCCGAAATTCCTAAATCAGTCATTTTCAGGAAGTCTTTCAGCGCATGAGAAGCGCACTAAAGCCCCCACTCGTGGAGCAGGTACAAGGCTAGCGGTTTCGTTAAGGCGCCCGCGCCATTTTTCTGTCTCTTATCTAGCCCCAGCCTGGTACCTGGTCCACGAGTGGTAACTTCAGCGCACTACTGCGCTTCACACGTGCTCAGTCTTTCTAAAAATTACTGGTTTAGGGGTTTTGGACGACACTCAGCAAGTTTTTAATTGAAACCATTTGTCTATTTTCACTAATTAAAAGTTAATTAATGAATTTGAATTAATTAGCCGACTTATCGCGAAGATTAGCCACCCAAATAATGTCCCCCTGGGCGTATAACTCACTCGCACAAACCGCATAAGTGTAGCGTTCACGGCTTTTAAAACAAATCTGAAAAAAAAAAAAAAAAAACGGTGACTACCATGCTGGTAGTTGACTCCTCGACCCTCCACAGCGAGAGCAATGGTAAAGTTTGCCGCGCTCGGCTGTAGCAATTACCCGGTATCCCGACGATCGTTTCGTCGGCATGAACCGCGAGACAGAGTGTCCCTCAAGTTAGAGAAAGTACGAGCGGGAGGAGAGGGATACGTCCGCGGATGACCGAGTTTGCGGCACGCATCTCATAGGGGCGAGCAACGGCACTTTTCTACCGTTGTTTACGTTCGCGCACACCTTTGCATCGGCTTTTGCCCATTCCTGGAGTAGGTGTCCTGTACCTATCGTTACATAACGCCGTTTCCCCGCTTGGAGCGCACCTTCGGGGCTCCCGGCCGAGTGCGGGCGAATTGTCGCGCCGCGAGCCCGGCCAGACGGCGATCGGTCGGCGGTGGCCCCGTGTGCAAGTTCGCCGAGACGCCGCCGTCAGGAGATCGGTTTGTGCCGTCCGCGAGGCGGCAACCCTTGCAAGGAGGAGCGAAAGTATGTAGGCAAGCCGGTTAGGAAACATCATAATATAAAGCCTGAGTCAATGAGAGTTGTCCGTTATTTGATTTATCCTCATCTCAAAGTTTAGATTATGACGGTAACCTAGCGTTGTTTTCCAGTATTCGCAAAATCGTAACAATCTTTCTACAAGGGACTCGTAAAGCCGCTCGTCAAATTTTGGAACACGTAATTAAAAGTCTTTATTGTTTTTG